AAGAGGACACTTACAAAATAAACTTAAGCTTTTTGTCTGTCTCTTTGTAATCTATGGGGTGACGATTGACTTCCTCGTAGGACAAGCACATGTTAAAATAGGTAGTCACCTGGATAGTCGGTGGCTAGCGTACTGTCCGACCCAACTGCTGGGGAATGAAAGGGGAGTTTAATTCGAATTTTTGAAGAAGTTTGCAAATCTACTTTTAAGATTCTATACCATTACTATTCGTATAGAAAATACCTATTTGATTAAAATTTTCAGCATTGAAAATTTACCTCAATCCGACTAGGATTTTGCAAAATTCGTAAAAAGTAAAATTACCCCTGAAAAAATGTGTATGTGTTATCTTATATATAAAAGAGTAGCGTTACTGACTGACTGATTCATCATCGCACAGCCCAAACGACTGAACCTAAAACCATGAAATTTTGACAGTAGACGTGTTTTTGTTCATGTAGATCCACCAAGGAGGGATTTTTGGAAATTTGTACATTTAGGGGTAAAAAGGGGAAAAAACGGGGAAAACAGGCTTTCTTAATTATCTTACACAATATTAGTGATACAAGAAAAATTTTAAATGCACCTGTATCTACTCTTCAAATGAGCAGATGAGTTTATGATACTTTTTTGAAATTCGTACTTTTAAGGGGTAAAAATGTGTAACAAAGGTGATTTTGGTACCTTTTTTAGCCCTTTATAACTTTTGAACTAATTAACATAATAAAATTTTTATAAATATTTTGGATACATCTCCCAAAATTATGAGACACCTGTTTCGTTTTTTTTTTTTTTTAAATTCAGTCCTTTTTGGGTGTAAAAGGGAGAAAACTCTATTTATGGTACTTTTTTACCACATTAAAAAAACTTTTTCGGGTTATTGAATTATTCCTATTAAATTACGAACTAACTCTGTAATATTTATTGTAATAAAATTTTTGCTATTTCACTGGGGAAAAAAAGTACCAAAAAGGGGAAAAACGGGAAATTTAATTTTATTCAAACTCATTGAGCCAATTTTTATAAAATTTGAAAAAGTAGTTTATTTACTCACACAAAATAAGCTGTTGGTATATTATTTTGGAATTCGAGTACTAAGGCCTATATAGGACCAAATTTGAGTAAATTGTTTGGTACTTTTTGAAAGCACTATTTTTCTGGAACAAATGAGTGCAGATCTGAATCGTTTGAGTTTTATCTGTGATATATAAATTTAAATACGCAACACTTTGTAAACTTAATTCTCGAAAAAGTATATTTCTAAGCGAAAAGGGGAAAAATTGTACTCTTTTTTAGTACTTTCCACTTAGGTAAAATTTATTCCACTTTTGGTACTTTTTTTTTCTTCAAATGATACTCTTTGTATGTTCTTTAATATGAATTCAAAACACATGATTAGTAAACATACACCGTCCTCATTGAATAAGATTATTTAAGAGAGGACTTTTTAGTACTTTTTATCTCATAAATGGTACTTTTTTTAATTTTTTAAAATATTCAACCTAGGAACATAAATTTTAACGTACATGGTCTTGACTGAATAATATTCTGTAAGTGGAAACTATTTGGTACTTTTCTATTCTTAAAATGGTATCTTTTAGATTCTTTATAATGGTTAACAGGAACACACGGTCCTTATTAAATGAGAGAGATTTTTGTACTTTTTCGTTTTTCCGATGGTACTTTTTGATATTTTTACGATATTGAAAATAAAATTTAAAATGTAGGGTGAATGACAATCTACTGAAAGGGACTTTTGGTACTTTTTCATTCATTAAAATTATATTTTTTGAATTGTATATAATATTGAACACAGAAACATAAAATGTTTAATTAAATGATAATCTATTAGAGGTATTTTATTTTAAAAATGTTTAATCAATTTTAATTTTCTATAAAAGTAAACAAAATTGTGTATGTATTTAATTTAAATTAGGGTAGCGAAGCACCCAGGGTATGTTGGTATACATATGAGTCTATGAACTCTAATGTTTGTATGTATTCTTACTAAACTACATTTAATTTAAAGTTGCTCTAAAATTGTAGTTTATGTACATTTGTTTCTACATAAGTTTTTTTTAATAATATTTTATATATATCTAATAAAATTTGCTTTATATACATATGGGTTTTATATATAAAATATAAAAAAGGGATAATTTTTTAATAAACATCATGCAAATTTAGTTAACAATTATATAAATTTTTTTTAGTGCTTTACATTTGTAATTGATTTCTAATGAAATACATGCAAATTAAAGTGATTTCCAAAAAAAAATAAATTTTTAAATTTTCATAATTTATAGAAATAAATTTTATTAAAATTTTGTTCAAATTCAATTTTAAAATATCAATGGTATATCCAACACTTATTTGTTTTGGGGAAATGATGTTGATAAAAGTGATAATGATGATGGTATTACATAAGATCAAATGCAAGGGGTCAAGTGTAAGTGTTAGGGATAAATAAGGGAAGTTTATGGAAATTATAATTTTACAATTGAAAAAGTAACTTAATTGTTGGAATGTATGTATGTAACTTAATTTGTTTTATGTTCTTTAAGAGAACAGGTTTTGGATGAGTTATAGTTAACTTTAAATGGCAACATAATAGGGATTTAAAATTAATTTCTTAAAAGGGAACTGTTTAGTTATTATGTATAGAAAATTTAAATAACAGTTAAGAATCTTAAGTTATTTAACTGGTAAATAAGCTTAAATGGTTGTTTCTTAAAATTTTGTAATATTGATAAAATATTTGTAATATCATGAGATATGAATATATATCTCAATAATATAAAAGTTTAACTAGGTACGTTCACCTACGTATAATTACACAGGCCGACAAATTTTTAGATTTTTAGATTCAGAGATGAAAGTATACTACTCTAAAGGATTGACCTGCGCTAAGTCCAAATATCTCCATCGCATCTGGTATGCGAGATATAGTGTTCTAATATTTGGCCCTTTTTGAGACGTTATAACAGCGCCAAGACAACTTAAAAAAAAAAAACGTTAGAAATCTTAAAATACATTCTGTCAACTTTGAAATACAGACATAAAATCTGATATATATATCTTCCATGTTCTTCGAAATATCATCACATAAAGCTTGATACAACAATAAATTTACAAAAACCTATATATAGTTTCGTACGAAAAACTTATATATCGTCACCTCAAATGCAAAAAGGCGTAACAATGGTACACATTCAAATGTGTTTATCGATGCTGGGATACAATACTTGTAAGAAAATATCGCTGTTATAACAAAAATATCTTTTATTTTATTTAGTGAATAGTGTTAGCCTTTTTGCATTTCAAGTGACGATATATTTTAAATTTTTAAAATTTTGTCATATTTTTGTTTTGTTTAAAAATCTGCTCTAGTTGCTGAGATATCATCCGTTGAAGTTGACGGTTGGACAGACATCGTTAAATCGAATCAAAAAGTGATTTTGATTCGATTTAACGATGTCTGATTGATACATTCTTTGGTAAGTGTGGATCCAATATTTTTGTTCGTCATAAACAATATTCACAAAACATAATAACTTTCTCACTTTGGTAAAGTACTCCATGAATATACTGAAATTTACTGTTTTCAAGTTTTGGGAGTAGATATCTCGAAGAAGAAAGAAGATATGTCAGATATTAAGCCTTTATTTTAAAGCTGACAGAACGGCATACAACATTTTGTAAATAAAGTTGTCTGGCCCTGTTATAACGTCTCAAAAATTGTTTTTTTTTTTTTTAATTTCATGATATCTCAAATCCCAGATTCATCGCAGCTCAATCAATCCTTTAGAAACTCTAACTTGTTCTGAGGGTTACGACTTTTTTCAAATTTTGTCGGCCTGTGTTATTCAAGAATATTTCAGCACTCGATAAATTTATTGACTACTTTTTATATACATTTTTATATGACCAGATTTGACACAGACTGACAATTTTTTTATCGTATGATTCAAAAATTTTGCCTTTCTTAGATGCAGTAGTACAATAGAGAAAATGCTCTCTACACTATAAGAGAGAGTTAAGCGCTCCAGCTTTCGATAGTATGCTCTAGCGCTTACCGTCTGTTTTACAGTTAGATTTTTCTTTTCTCATTTACAAATGGATATTTCTTTCTTTACATAACTACATCTAAGCGGCATTTTTTGCAAAGTATATGGATTTTTCCAAATTTTTAAAAAATTTGTTCAATAAAACAAAAATTATCTCTTTACGTTATTCTTTAAGGTTTTAATCTTCTTAAAAATAAATCGAAATTTAATTAAATATATTTAATTCTATTAAAATGAAACTATTTTATAAATAATCTTAAAAATTCTATTAAGGGTTTTCACTTATAAAATAAATGCATAAACAGACAACATCGAATAAAAAGAACTTAAAATGGGTTTTAGAAAAAGATGGACTTTTGTAATTGAAAGTTCTGTTTACTAAAGAACTCGCTCGAATGCCCCAATTTGTAAAAACAAATTATTGTTACAGACGGACAGATGTAGGCAAGATCGTGCAAGAAGATTGAAATGCAAAAAACTCAAAATTCATAAACGATCTTTACTTTCTGGTTAAAACAACTGTCAACGGCTGCTAGTTTCCCAACCATTAGATAAGAGCTGGTAGCGGCAAAGAAATCACTCATTAGCTGTCTGGATTTCATAGTAAGATTACACAAAGAGTTCTCTCCTGAGCTTTATTGCTTTTACACGCTCAAAAACTCAACCGAGTTTAAATACCACACAAAGGCAAAAAGAGAACTAGTTGAAACACTCTATGTTGATGCCTGATCTATGCCGTTACCTGTTCAGTACAATATATGTATATTTAAAAAAGTTTTTTTTTTAAATGAGTTAAATTTTAGCTGAGTCATATTCCTCAAACAAAAGTCCATCTTTAACTAAAGTTGTATTTTGTTTAGTATTTCTTAAAACATGAAAAATGAGAGGAGAGAGAGATTTTTTTGTAGTGGAAGTGAGAGAGTATGAACATACCATTGTATAATTGTTTAAATTTCGTTTATAACGTAAACGATTGCGTACCTTTGGTGCACTAACTTCACGCGTCGAAATGCCCATCTTTTCGTGATGTCTCAGCTGTACCGGATATATAATTTGATAATAATGGCCACCGATACGGCGTACCAATTCTTGATTTTGACGATATTCCTTAAGTAAACGTTCGACTTCACCTAGAAGAAAATAGAAAAATTTTAATTAAACATTTTTAAATATTTTTTTTTTTAACTAAAAACTAATGTTCAATATTATAATATTTAAAATCTGTCCACCATTGGTTCTGTAACTGACATTCGGTTATGACTATACAATAGATTAATTTACCTTTCATGTCATAAACATTTTAGTGAAAACCCTTTTCTATTCTTTTCAAACTTTTTCTTAGTTAAATATAAAATTTGAAATTTTCATGTAGAAAATTGTTTAACTTATTCCCCCGTAAACAGACACTTTAACAAACGTACACATTCATATAAAAAAATTGAGTTCAAATATCTATTTACGAACATGTAAATTTGTAGAGTATGGGGAGGGATAAAACGTATACAAACTTAGACATTGCAGCAGTGGTTCCAAGTTGAGTTGAAATTTGATTTAAATAAGTTCAAATGCAACAGAAAAACGGAAATTAAATTTTCATTTTTATTTTCACACAAAAATGTATTCGAAAAATGCACTCACACACAACTAAGAAAGAATGCCAAATAACAGCATGGAATGAATAAAGGAAATGTGGGTTTGGGAGGCTGTCTATTTCATCAATATTGAATGGTTAATGTAAAGAGTTCGGTTGTACTATTAAGTGTAAAGAATTGAATTGAAAAGTTCAAATGGGGTTGTAACTAAATAATACAGACTTAGCATAGCTCTAAAAAGTATTGCTTTAAATTGTTGTAGTTTTACTTATACTAACCGGTAGATTCAATAGGGGTCAATATTTTTCTTTTAGACAGTTTATTCGGAAAATTAATCATTCATTTCGTCATTATCTAGGTAATATAGGATGAACTCATTGTAGGTAGGTAGGTAGGTAGGTAAAGTAAAATGAAATTCCATCCGTATGACAAAAAAGAGAATAAAAGTCGTATGATTTATATTTTTTGTGTTTACACGATTGGTATAAAACAATAACAAAGTAAGATGGAACAGCTGTTTCACTTTTTTTGTATGTGTTTACATAAAAATACATCCCTGATCTAATGCGACTTGCTTGTTTTTTGAATCATTTCAAAAAATGGAGAGAGCCATACGACTGTCAAATTTTCCATCCGTATTTTCTCTCAATGTGTGATGGTTTCATTACATATTGCGTTTAGACGATCCCATCCGTTCTCTTCTACACAAAATTTTGACAGATCATATTACTTGTGTGCTCGTGTGAAGGGGGCTTAAGTAATCTAGAGTGTGGTCACCTCTGCTATTTTCTTCCCATCTTGTACTTTAAGAAGTAGTTATTTTATACACCACAAGGAAAATATTATAGGATCAATTGTCTTTCCCGGTAAAACATATATTTACACCAAACTGCAGGGTATAAAGTAATAGTACCAGTTGTGCTAGTTGCAATTGTAATTGTAGTAGTGCGATTTAAATGTATTTATAGAAATGTGAGAGGGATCTATACAGACATTGTATGTGTTAACAACACCAATACAAACAAACTAGCATCCAGCAAACAATTTTGCAAAACAATACAGGGGTAAAGAAAACTATTTTTAAAAATATTGGAACAAATTTAACACAAAAAAAATTATAACCCCTTCTACTACTACATAAAGCTAGAGAATTTGTACATTTAAATCTGCCAGAATCCTGAAAAATAGTTGAAATTGTCTATACATGCAAACTATTTAAATAAAAAACTAGCAAATTTACGAAAGTTAGAGTGATTATTTGGTGTATGTAAAAGAATTGTTATATTGCCATATACTAAATAATATTGTTTGCTGCTGCTGACGTTGCTAAAATCCGTTTCCGTTTCCTTTTTTTTTTACCTCCTCCATTTAAGTAGAAAACCGAAAATAAGTCAAACAAAAGCCAAACCAAGCAATTAAGCCACTATGAACAAAAAAGTTTTCTTATGTAAATAAAATTTAATTAATTAAATGTAGAAGAAACGTATTTTTGAGTTTTTTTTTTCTTGTGTTCAGCACTTTATTTTTAAGTCTTTAATAATTTACAAATTACTTTATGTATACACGCGTTTATGTTAAGCGAGCTGTTTTACAAATGCAAAGTAATACAGCAATTAAGGTAGTTAATTAAGAGGTCGCCTAGGAAATCTGTAAAGTGAGAGGGGAACAGAGTAGAGGTGGTTTAAAAGCTTTTTATTATGTACTTTAAACGACCACTTGGGTTAAACGAGGCAGAATGTTTGAGTTAGATTGTGCATGTTAGCTAATTAACTAATACTGAGAATAGTTATTAGCCCATGTATTTGTCAAAAGATTAGTCCAAATACTAGACCACAGACTAGACCATAGACTAGTCGACAAACTACTTCATTAATTAGGCCACATTCTATTCTACGGACCGATCCCCGAGTCAATAAGCTACGCCAGAGAATAGTTAATAGACTTGTTCAAGACTAGTCCCCAAACTAATGCGTAGCCTAGCCCATAGCTTACCAATAAGACTGTAAAATATTTCAGAATGTAGACCGCTCCATAGAATTGTTCAAAGATTACTCTATAGACTAGTTCAGAGACTTGTTCGAAATCTATAGTCTAGTCCATAGACTAATCTATTATCTAGTCCACAGACTAATCTATAGTCTAGTCCATAGGCTAATCTATAGTCTACTCCATAAACTATGGTCTATAGTCTACTACATAGACTATAGTCTACTCCATAGACTATAGTCTAATCCAAAGACCAATCTATAGCCTAGTCCATAGACTAGTCCTTAGTCTAGTCCGTAGCTAATCTATAGTCTAGTCCATAGACTAATCTATAGTCTACTTCATAGACTATAGTCTAGTCCATAGACTAATCTATAGTCTACTTCATAGACTATAGTCTAATCCAAAGACTACTCTGTAGCATAGTCCATAGACTATTTCTTAGTCTTGTCTATAGCTTATCTATAGTCTAGCCCAAGTCTAACACTAGTCTATAGTCTAGTCCATATGCTAGTCTAGTCTATAGTCTCGTCCATAGACTAGTCTGTAGTCTAGTTCAAAGACTAGTCTATGCTCCATAGAATAGTCTAAAGTTCAGTCTATAGACCATAGAGTCTTTAGTCTGGTTCATAGTCTAGCTTATAGTCTATAGTCTGGTTCATAGTCTCGCCCATAGTCTATAGTCTAGTTCATAGACTAGTCTATAATCTAGCTCATGGACTAATATATAGTCTAGGCAATAGACTGGTCTGTATTCTAGTCAATCGAGTACCCAAAAGTCTAGTACATAAGTCTATAGTAAAGTCCAGGAGTCCAATCCATGACTCGTCTGAAGTCTATAGCCTATCCCATAGGCTATTCTTACACTAGTTTATAGTCTAGTCCATAGGCTAGTCTATAGCCTATTCTATAGACTAGTCCATACACTATTCTATAGGAATATTTATATACTAGTCTATAGTCTAAAACCATGACTAAACTATATACTGGCCCTACACTAATAGATTGTCCATAGCACAGCCCATAGCTTAGTCCATAGCCTAGCCAATAGCATAGTCTGTAAAACATTACCTAGATATTATATTTTTCTTAATTTTTATTTTCTTATATCCAATAATTCATAAAACATTTAAAATTTAAATTTATTTTCAAGAAAATGTTTGCTTAAACACTTATACAAAATTCTTACATACTCTTAACTAAACAAATTTATAACATATGCCACAGATACCTTTTTTCCACCCTTTTACGCTGAAAAACCTACTCATACGAAAATAAAAGTGGAAAATAATTTTTCAGGCTATTCATAAATTTTGACAAGAAAAAAAAGGAAGAAAATAAAGCAAATAAACATTTTCATAATAAAATAACTCATAACTAAACGGAAAAATCCGCCACCTAAAAGTATGCCACGGCATATAGTTTTAAGTGAGGTTTTTATATTAGAGCACAGCTGTGATTATTCAAAAGCACATCTTTTTCCACATTTGCAAGTTTTAGAAATATTTGTAATTTTTTTGTGTGTGTGTGTGTTAAACACACACAGATACACAGCATCTTGTCATAACAGTTGAGAAAAATCATTCATCTGTATGATTAATGATGAAATATTTTGTAGGAAATCATTGATGGAAATTCTTATCTTTTAAGATTTCCTTTATTTAATTTTTTTTATATATTTTGTAGCTTTTTTATTAAAGCTAACGACTGAGTGGCTACATATTAGCTGTTTGAGGGTCAGATTTTGGTACATATTATGAAAGAAAGCTACAAATTGGTTGAAATTTTTTCTAGCAAAAGTAAAAATAAAATACCAAATCATTTAATATGTTAAGAAATCTTTATTTAATTGTCTTACGACTGAATACCTTAAGTAAGGTGTAGAAATTTTCACAATTAATAATCATCAAAACTAAATCTAAATGTTAGAAAAAATACTTGAAAAATATTACAATAAGCAAAAAATAGAAATAAGTTGTCCTGTATATTTAGACGAAATATTTTGCAGCTGATGAGTGCTAATAAAAATGTTTATAACCCTTTTTATTTAAGTTGTTTTTATTTTCTTGACGATTTTTCAAAATACTAAAAGACAAGACCAAACATGTCATTTATCATTTCAAATACTTTTTACTTTTATTCGTTTTTTTTTTTGCTTTTGCTTGCATGAGTAGAAAAGTTTAAGAGCTTCTCCAATTTTAGTACCAGAACATTTTTGTTCAAACAATATAAAAAATGAACTTGTATGAGTTTGAAAAATTTCATTTTAAAACCACATTACTTCACGAAACACCTGTATACTTTTAAGTTTTTTTCTTGTAATTTTATTTATTCTAAAGTTGTTTTTTTTAATATACATTTTTTGTATATTTAAGAATTTTGTATTGGGAAAAGTATAAAAATTTGTTTATATCATTACTTATATTTATTGCTTTCCCTTTCTTTATTTAAAAAATCTCAAAAAAAAAAAAAAACATTTAAAAACCAAGGTCCTTTTATATATAAAACAATCTCACTCACTTATTCATTCAAAAAGTTATTTATATTGAATT